AGACTCTGACTACGAGTATGACACAGACGAAAATGTCCCAATGTTGTCGAAGAACAAGTTAAAACCAATTTGAGTGATTTCAATTTCTTCGAATATGTGAGCATTGATAATGGCAGTCTTACAAGATAAATGTTGACTAATGAGCAAATTATAGACTCCGTAACCGCATCTACAGCTTTAAGCGATAATGAGAAAAAATGACGATTTAGGTGAAACATATTCTACTGTAGACACTAATGCTCTTCCAACGATTTCTGAAATGACCAAAAAAGTGTCAGAAACTGGGAATTTTCTACAATCACGCCAAGTTCCTAATCCTATCTGGGAGTCCTTTTGTGATCTTGAAAACTACATAAAAAACATCCATTTTTGCAGCAGAAATGTACAAACAAAAATTACAGACTTTTTGAAGTCGATTTCAAATTGAATTTTGTTTATCGTTTTGTGTTGTTTTTAGTCATACCTACAAACACCACGTGTTTTGTGTTATTATTCGCTTATAGCGAACTCCGGATATACCGAATCAGTTTTAGTTCATTTTTCAAGTTTGTTATATCCGGACTCAACTGCATTTATATCGAATAGGCCTAGAATTTTACGAATAGCTAGAAAATGCAACAAAAAGGACGGCATTCCATTCAAAAAAGGTTTGGTCGGTCACTTGAATTTGAGATACCCTGTATCAATTGGTACTATCTTAACATTCTTTATCTAAAATTCAAATTAGATGCAAAAACGGGGTGGAAAAAGGGGACAAATCCCTGAGCAATATGAAAATTCGAGAAAAAAATAAAGAACGTAAAAGATGGCTAAAAACTATGGAACGTATCAATCAAGTAAGCTATGAACTGACATGATGTTCAAGGTCGTATAACGATCGCGAAAGATGACGGGTCTAGACGGCCGTGAAACTACCGGCAGGTTCACTTATGGTGTACCTTTTCCCTATTCAAAATTGAAACAATTTCTCCATTAGAACGTTGCCGCGTTATTGCAGGTGAATTGCGGTTTATTTTATAGGAACTTACATCCATGAGCTACTTTTGAGAAACGCCAATACTCAATAGCCTGCTAAAAAGCTAGTGCCGATCCTTATTTACCGATCGGGACAGCCGTTAATCGCGATTTTTAGTTGAGCACTGAATTGCTTCAGTTTGCGACATAATTACCTTAACGGGTTATTGTTGGTCAGAGTTTTATGAGCTACCGGTTAGCTATTTGCTTTTAAAACATTTGTGCAAACATTTTATATCCATCCATCTATGTATGTCGCTTATTCTCAAGCACAATTACATACAATGTAGGCATTAGGGCTCTCAATATTTGCAATTTATCGGCAACGTGGCAGACAGGCGATGATGCTGTCCTGTCCTAAAACCAGCAAGCTAGGTTAGGAACGTTGGGACATCAGGACATTGAAACACGCGCTTAGTCGTTTGTCGACCAATCAGAATAAACCTCGCGCGTTATGTCCATATATGGTAGCGTTAGTGAATGAAACAAGTGGGGTTTGGACGATTCCATATCGGTCGGGTCGAGGGGTGGCCTTGACTCACCGGCGCAACATTTCCATGGTTTCCAATTCAACAAATTATTTTTCCTGTCAAAAATGAGCAAAAAATTGTGATAATTTTGACCTGTCAACGTTCCGAGTGACTTTTTGCAGGCTTTAGCAAACGAAAATTTGAATCATTCAAGCTACTTTCCCCCTATTTGGTTGGTACGCTGAAGTGGCCAACTGTTTCTTTCGCTTTTTCCATTCGCTGTTTTTCGCTGCTGCAACCGACAACTCGCTGTGCTTAAGAAACGTATCCTGTTTAAACGGTAAGCTTTTTATTATTTTTTTTATTAAACTGTTACACGGGGGGTGGTTCAACCAAATTTTGGCCGCAAATCTTAGCGTTTTAAACATTCCTACCGGAACTAACTGGCCAGTGACGTTCGCCAGGTGGTGTGTGCCGTTCTATAAATAAAAAATCTTGTTTAAAAGCAAGTGGTTGAAGCGGAGCTCATTAAATTGGGTAAACCGCTTTAACTGTCGTGTCGAGCGTTAATTCACAATAATGGAAATACCCACTATGAAGAGTTTCAACCTAAAGCCCTAAACAGAATGGTTTGTTGGCAGTAAACTGCCATTTAATTGCCAAATACCAGATGAAGATGTCTGGTCAATGAGAGAAACGGGCAATTTTTGTGCAGCATTTATAAATGCCGGCATTTCTTATTGAAAAATTGTAAAAGTATGTCATTCGGAACTTTTCGTCAAGATTCGGAGGGGCAAAAATCGATGCAATACAATTCCTTATATGGAAATCTTTCTCGCCATTGGCTCGACGCCCCATTGATACTGCGCTGTCCTATCGAATTGGGTTGTGGAGGGGCGATAATTATATATGGAAGAGCAATTTTAAAATTTCCACATTTCTCCTTTGTGATATTCTAGAGTAAGTGCAGCAGTGGTGCTGTGCATTAACGGATAACTTACAACCTTTTGTCAAACCTCAACCAAGTAAGTTTAATTCAAACTGGATAATTTTCATACTACAGTGTTTTTGTGGGTGTGGTCGAGCCGTTTGGTGATTTTTTGTGAGGGTTAATAGTGAAGTTTAGGCTTCGTTTGGGCGTCGCTGGTTTTTTTCGATTAATCCAGATATTTTCCATGGTGCATCAACTTCACACTCAACTGGAAGGTTTATTTCAATTTCCTGAATTTACGATTTTTGCTAAAACTTTTTTGTGGACGGCCAACAAAGCACCCTATTTTACAGTTTCTGGGATTGACAGTTTTTATATAATCCATATATATATACACACACACTACCATTTTCCCCCTAATGGAATTGATTTAGATTTACGTGATTTTTCATTTATTGCGGCGAAGAGGGTTAAAATTTTAAGTAGTCCTTTCGAATTTTTAGTTTGTTCTGGTTTTATTAAGACTTAAATTAAGCAGTTTCGGGCCAGGAAACACTCCGAAAGTTTGGGAGGAAAATCATCATTTCGAGCGGCGTTGACAAACTGTGCGAAACGTTTTAAGTTCATTGTAAATTGATTCCTTGGATGTCTAGCTGGTAGATTCATTCAATTTGGGTCGGTTCAGATTATCTAGGTCTTTTCGGGTTATTAGCTTTTACTTGTATATATTTTTAGATTTATTGCAAAAGTCACTTCAACCATACTCTAGCACAAACAACAAACTCAAAACTAACCGAAAGGGAAGAAACGTGACAACACCCCGTCGTGTTTCGCCATTTGAAAGTCGACGCGCTAGCTAAACTCAATCAATTGGCGATGTCACAAAAGATGCTCAAACTTTTCCGAAACACAATTATTATGCATCTTTGCATGTGGAGTTACGAATTGTTGATATATAAAACACGATTTAGTAGCAAATAGCACCGGGCAATCTCATTTTCGTGCATAAACAAGTGGTTTTGGAAAAGCCAGTTTCAAGAGTTCGTAAGTGTTTTTGGGCTTAATTTATGGACCATCCAGGAATCTTTTAAGGTGAAACGGCTTAATTTTAGACTCAAACGAGACGATCACCAACCAAACTGATAAAAATCTAATGAATGTAATGGTATTTTAAAATTTTACATTCACTTTGGCAACGTTGCATGAGTCGAAAATCGACATTCATTAATTTGATTATGTTATTGAAACTGCTTAATTTAAGGCAAAAAAAACCCAAAAATTCGGTTATAATCTCAGTGGTGCAACGCCTAGACTTAGTGGACGATTAGTTGTGATTTATTTATTGAATAGTAAAAGGGGCAATTTTTTTGTTTCGCTAATTTAAAAACATGCAGTACGGTAAGTATGTGCCATTATAGCTCTGCATGTCTCCCATAGAAACAATCGTAAATGTAGACAGACAGGTTAGTCATAGCAAAAACACAAATGTAGGTGATTTCCCCTCTTCGTAATGTTGTACCTACCAAAATTCCTTTTAGTAGCCACGACATATTTTAATTTTGATTTTTGGTTTTCAGTACTAACAATTCAACATGTGTGACGAAGAAGTAGCCGCATTAGTCGTAGACAATGGATCCGGAATGTGCAAAGCTGGATTCGCCGGGGATGATGCCCCTAGGGCTGTTTTTCCTTCCATTGTGGGTCGTCCCAGGCATCAGGGCGTCATGGTAGG